CTGATGAAGGTGAGCCCCTCTGCCTTCCCCTGGCTTGCATCTCATTTCCTGCCAGTCTGGCCTTTATTTGCATCCTAATCACTTTAATTACCTCTTGCTCCGCGGCCTGCGGGCGAAGTGCCGCTCCCCGAGACCAGGAGGGGCGCGAGGATCAGTCTGGCGAAGTCGGCCAGTCGCCGCGGAGACCGCGGCAATTACTCCCCGCGCTCTGGCCATCGCTGCTCACGTCAATTAGCGGGGAAACAGGCCTTTACTGGGGACCCTCGTTAGAGGGTCGTTAACGGAAATTGAAGAAGGACTCGTGTGTGTTGCTTTCCTCTTAGTTCCCCCCTCAGAACACTAAAACTAATCCAACGTTTCCCATCCAGTTTTCACCGATTCCTGGCAGCAGGAGCAGGGGCCAAGCCTGGCCTTGCTCACAGCAACTGGGGGCGCTGACTGGGGGCTCAGTGGGGTGTCTCACTGACTCACTGGGGGCTCAGTGGGCTCTGACTGGAGGAGTGGGGTGTCTCACTGACTCACTGGGGGTGCTGACTGGAGGAGTGGGGTGTCTCAGTGACACATTGGGGGCTCAGTGGAGGGGTGGGGTGTCTCACTGACACACTGGGGGCGCTGACTAAAGGAGTGGGGTGTCTCCCTGACTCACTGGGGGCTCAGTGGGCACTGACTGGAGGAGTGGGGTGTCTCACTGACTCACTGGGGGCTCCCCAGTCCCTCGCAGGACAGCAGCACTCAGGCCGCTCCAGTAAAAGGCCCGACTGTATAAATGGGTGGAAATATATGTGTGGACCGACCGTAACAATTCCCAGTGTCCTGGCATCATGCGTCATCTGCTCCCTCACAGTGCAGTCGCAGGCAGGCGGACAGGCAGGGCAGTCGAAAGACGGGATCACAGGTCCAGTGCCGTGGCTGAAATTCCAGAAGCGTAGTAGGAGGGGGATGTGCAGCCTAGAAGATTCTTAAAATAAGAATGTCAACGAGGAGAGAGTTTTCAGTTTTCTTCCCCCAAGGTCTCAGAATTCCCATCCTGTCCTGGATTAATATCATGCAAAACTGCACTTGATAGAGTTACAGTAAGACAAGCCTTGTGCCCCTGGCTCAGAGAGAGCAAGCAGGAGAGCAGGGGGCAGGATTCCAGATCATACACAACCGCTGAGAGCTCCCTCTGCACAGAGCAAAGCACACGGAAAAGCCCCTTTATTAAAAAAGGTGGGGGGGATCATTTGGGAGTGCTTGATTGACTTTTTGAAGCATTCGTGCGGAAAAAAAGGTGAGAAAAAAATCTTCAAAATCTTGATCTTGGAGGTGGATCTCAGAGGTAATATTTATCCCCATATAAAGAGCTTTAAATCTAGAAGCAGGTGCCCAGATAATGGTGTCAGAGTGTTTGTTCAAGTTTAGTGGGGGATAAAACCCTATTCTGCAGCAGCTAATCCCGGAGATTGATGTCAGACGAGTGCTATCTTCAGAGCAAAGAGATTCATTTCCCTGGAGAGACAAAGGCTGATCCTCCACATCCCCCAGCCTGCGGTGAGATGAGGACGGGCCGCCCGCCAGCGAAGAACAGCAGACTTCTGGGAAAGGCTCAGGAGTCTGAGTGGGGGGACGTGGGGTGACAGTGCTTAGCGCAGAGCCTCCTTGACAAAGGCAAACCCCAAAACCAGGAAATGCCTCCTGTAGGGCTGGGCCTTGACAACAGTATTGACAACTGTTCTTTAAACACTGCCCTCCACAATGCAAGGCAGCCACAGAAGTGCACAGGATATCAGTATCAATGTCTGCGGTGTCCCGACATAGTGCTCAGTGGCCCTTTAAATGCTCAGTTAACTGGGACGGGCTTCCAAGAGCTGTCACGCAGCGGGTCCTCTCCGTGCCTGGAGGGGACAGTCTGGGGGTGACCAGAGGGACTCCCCTCCATGAAGCTGGCCAGGGCCACGCGGAGACTCACAGCCTCTCTCAAGGAGCCCCGCGGCACGAGGCAGGTGGCTTGCCTTGTGTGGGCACCTAGTTTGTCAAAGCAAGTTGTATGTAGACCATAAGAATGAAGGCAAACGAGAGGCAGTCATTCAGCCTGTCTTCCTGAGCGTGTTCATGAGTCGTTAACGGATCCCAGGGGCTCTGAAGGAA